AATAGCTATCGGAAGCCGTAATTCAAGAATCTATTTTGTAATAAAAGCTATATTTAGTCCGTTATAATTATTAATACAAAGATCAAATACTTAGAAATAATTCCTTCGATCCGGCCGGATTCGAACCAACGACGTCTTCTGGCAAACCGTGCCAGACACGTCAATAAAAAAATTATACATATCGAGTTCTTAGGTTTTCGCGATTGTTACACATAGGAAATGAAACTATTTTTCCGGATTTAAACAAGGATAACGACATAAAATTGCGTACTGTAGCTTCTATGTCGTTTAATCATCGCTGCGTCATGAAACAAAAAATGTCGCGTTTTTGTACTTTCTTTTTTTATATATTTTACATTATATTACCCTCTGTGCAAAACTGTCAAAATGTTTTAAAATCAGCTATGACTTTGCACCCTTGTTTGCCGCTATGTTAAGCTTTTGCAGTTATTGGCCGTGGCCCTCGCGATGACACAAATATGACGTCACGGTGCTCGCCGTGTTAGCTGTTGTGATAAAAATCGTAAATTTTTTGTTTAGTTTATCACTCAAATTTGAGCGCTAAATAGCTGTATCGAGATACTACGTGGGCTGGGCTCTAATGCGGCTGTCAGCACGTAATACTTTAGTTGACAGAACGTAGGAGATATGCAATTTAGTTTACTGAATTGTCACCACAATATGATAGCCGTGGTAGCCTATTAGGAATACAGTTGCTTCGAAATAGATAAAGCTAAGAAAAAGAAAATTCTCTAGGTGAACACATGTGAGCTACAACAATTAAATTCCCATGTTCAACCCAGGTGGAATTTTTTTTATAATTTCAAGTCGTGCGCGTGATAGTTCACGCCTGTCCATAACAGTTGACTCGCTGGGGTTTGTGGTGAGTTGCAGAGACGGACACGTTTGTCTGCCTCGGTGGTGTGTGGCCAGGGCGTCTGTCTCGTACGCAGCTAGCGCGTCTTAGTTGAGGGCCTGAACTGAGGGGACGCGCGGGGCACGTGAATACCCTTTAAGTTGGAAGCTACGTCCGGACATTGTCGCAGAATACTGCGACCAGGATCTCCGGCTCGAGCCCGGAGAGTGGAGGATAAGCCAGATATCCTCCCGTCCCTCCTGCCGCGCAGGTGATTGGGAACTGGAGAGACGCCATTTACGACGCGGCTGGAAGTGAGCGTGCCTCACAGCTCCGTCACTAATGAGGAGATTTGGTAGTGGACTTTACAGTCGGCGGCTTAGCTAGCTGTGGAATGCACAACGGGAAGTGAACGTGCCTACACTTCCAGTACTTATCTAGAAAATAATGCCTTTCCCGTACTATATACCCTAAGGGTTGGCAGGTAGGGTCACAATAATCAAAGCTAAAGTAGAAAGATGAGGCTGAGAGGGCTGTTGTCTCTTTTTTTATTTTATTTACAAGCAAAGTTAAAAAATTGGCTTCCCCACCGTCTTTTGTCATTGTCTTACCGATAGCTATAATCATAATTATTGGTTGCCATGTTATTGAATAAACTTATATTTGTTTTATTTTTCATCAGTGTCTTGCGATATCGAAGACCAAGTACAATTTGTCCATCTCACTAACATTGTACCGATCGAAAGTCGTATCATAGGAGGGACCCCTGCCTCTATTGACCAATACCCTTTTGCTGCACAGGTTTGTAGTAACCACATTATTTTTTTTGCAGAAATATTTTTATACTTTGTGTGATTCGGAAAAGTTTATTATAATAAAAATAATTCATTTACTCAGCACCATTTTTTTTATAATATCAAATGATAGGACGAAGAAGTCGTAGCCTGATGTTAAGTAACACGCTTGTCCATAACAATTGCTAATAAACTACCCAAAGTCTTAGCGATTTTTAAAGAACACCAACACCCTTTCAACTCTGATCTCCTTTTCGCAAAAACAGTCGCTACATTGAAAAAATATTGAGTGAGTTGATGAAAGCGTCTAAACGGAATTCATATAAATTAAAATTAAACACATTTGGAAGTCATATCAATATATTGTTAAAAAAAAAGAAAAAAGCAATCTCTAGAGTTTCTTGCTCGTTCTTCTCAGGGAGGTCAGAGTAGTGAACGAGCAGAAGCTTAAAAAATGACATTTTCAAGTGTAAAAATTTTACCTATGGAATAAATTATTATTTCACTTTAACTTAGAGAAAAAGAAGATTTTTTTTCCTACCACCTTTATTCAGTTTCCAATTTGATGGTAATGTATTTTTCAGATAATTGTTAGAGGATATCTAACATGTGGTGGATCACTACTTACATTACGAAATGTTCTGTCCGCAGCGCATTGCTTCTTCGATTGGTAAGTCATAATCATCAATTCCTTCTACCCGGGAAATCAAAATCTGTGAAATAATTAATACTCGACCCAATTAAAAAACAATGTCACGTACGAAGTTTCATTCGCATCGTGCGTCTGTTAATTTGGTTGAGTATTACTTATTAGCCGACTTCAAAAAAAGGGAGGAGGTTCTCAATTCGACTGTTTGTTTTTTCTTTATTTATGTTACGTGATAACTTCGGCATTTGTTGTTTGGTAGAGCTCCTTGTGAAAGAGTTCGTCCAGGGTAGTACTGCCACCTTACCTATTTCTGCCGCCAAGCAGTAATGTCAGCAGTACTGTGTTCTGGTTTTGAAGGGTGCCTAAGGGTGCTGGTGAAATTACAACATGAGACTTGTCAACTTATGTTTCAGAGTGACGGGCGCAGTGGCAGTACCCCTCAGATCTTTGCAATATAAAACCCAGGGACCTACCATAACCTTTCCAAAAACAATCTTATTTCAATGTAAGCTTATTATAATTTTACTCATATTCGTACCATGATGAACCTGTCAACCAAGTAATGTGGCATTGCAAAAGTGATTGAAAGAACGAATGATTTCCCAATATTGTCTATTCCTTACTAAAAATAGGAAAGAGATAACGCTATGCGAACTACATAGTGCCATCTCTTTCTTTTTTGGTGTTCGTCTTATCGTAGTATAATGTTTAAGTACTTAGTGTTATTTACATTCAGATAATTTTTAATGTTAAAAAAGAAAAGTATGTAATAATAAAATTTATTATGTTTACGCTGTTTTCAATAATTATTCCGCATTTTCATGAAGAAAAACAAATAAAACAAGCTGAGTCTTGATTGTCACGTTGTGAATTCGGAAAGTCTAGTGTCAACTGTTAGTGTTGCCAAGAAGCACATAGATGGCGCTGTCAAAGTTTAGGAAATAAACATCGCGTATTTTTATTTAAAGAGAAATTATTTTCTATATACTATTAAATAAAAAAAAAGAATCACAACATTGAAGATATATGTAAATAAATAACTTTTAATCATTACAAATCAACATTTAGCCAATAAATTTGAAAATAATATTGTTTCCATTGCATCCGTACAACTATTTTAAGATTGCTAAATTTGACATAAGAACAATATTATTTTAATGTTAAGTCGCGTCATAGTACGAACTGAGTGAATGAATAGTCACAAAGCTGCCAATAAAACATCATAGTTGTAACTTTATAATAAACTTATTACTTTAAGCGCGTCATGGTTCGAAAAATCAATGTAAGGTTAAAGTAATATTGTTTTAAGAGGTTGTGGTAGGCCCCCTGATTATATTTAAATATACGTATTATATATAGAAATTCGATTACATTGGCGACAAATTAGTATTCCTTATTAAGTATTTGCTATAAATTATTGTCTCAAAAATTTATATTTGTGATGCAATGCTGCAAATTTGTTCTTTGACTCGAGTGTTTGTATTGAAACATAAGCAAGCGAACTAAAAAACATCAATTTTTTAATTATAAGAAAAAAGTTTATCTTCGGAAGCGTTCTGAATTTACACCTCATCAATTTTTATTCTTGCTTGTGCTTTTATTTTGTGTCATTGACGAATTAAATTAATTTAATAAGCACAATTAGTTGTCATTGTCAATTTAATGTCTTCAATAATAAGAATAAAATATACCAACGGGTTTATATTACGTAAATAAATAATGTACGACAAATCGCGTAATTGAACGTGTCATTATCTTTATTTTTTCATCGAAAGAAAAGTTAGGTGCACCACAGTCCATCGTCAAGTTCGAATTTCAAAAACCTTTTCCACTCTAGCGTGGAAAAAACGCTTTTGCGCGCATATTTCTAATGAGAAAGAAAGTCTTTCCAAGCTAGTGAGGTGAAAATAATATTGTGGTTGTGTTTCTGTAACCTACTTACATATTTAAACACTAACCATTTAAAAATTAAACATATATTATGTTATGTTTAAAAAAACAGTAAAAAAAAAAAGAAATTTTATACGCATTGATGACGAAACGGTTATTTATTTATTTATTTATATATACAATTTCACAGCATTACAGTTATTTTACCAAGCCACTGTGAAATCCATAAAATTAAAAATAGACATATTTTTTATTAGTTCACAGAAGACAGCCGTTCACCCATCCTCTCACATAACCTCAAACATTCATCACACACAACCGCCCATCTACTAGCTAAAACATCGCAGTCAGGTGCCGATACGAGAAGCTCGTTTACGTAAAGCAAAGCGCGAATAAGCGGCGATTTTCTACGGGATACAGTGCGGGTCTCCTGCACTGCCAGCAGGTGGTAACTGCGAGGCCGTAAATTAAACTTGTTTTCTAAAGGGATGAACAAGCGCACCAGTTGCGCCACCACTTCTGGACAGTCTGAATTTCCACGCAAGGCGCTGGCAGCAGTAGTCAGTAGCGTATAATTACGCCTTACCTCTAGTTATGTCCTTATCAGGGCTGTTGCGAATATCGGCATCAATATATTTCTATATCATTGGCCTTCAATTATTTCTTCCAGTGATAAACAATTATGTACACATGTGTTACAATATAGAAGCACTCGGAACCCCAGCAAAACATTTTTTTAATACTATACTAATGTTATGTAGAGGATTATGTTATTTTTAATACTATAATCATTGACTTACAATTATATGGAAGTCGGGTCCGCGCTAAAAAGTGTCCGAACTTATAGGGCGTTAAAACCGTATACAGAGCGTCATTCACGCTTTAGTCTTCGTTTGTTCGACAGACAGCGAAGCAAGCAAAATTAGACAGTACTGCGATGACATTACAATTTAAATTCAACGTTTTAGCTTTTTCATATTCCTTTACATGTCACTACGTTTAAATAGATTGACTTAGGACATTTTTTTCGAGGTTTTTGTATTAGACTGTGAGTCAATGACTATAATAATCTAAAACTTTCAAATAACGGCTTAACAAAAGTTTTCACAGCCGTGAACAATATATGGTGGACCAATCAGGGTGTATTTTTTCACATTTAATAAAAAAAAAGTGTTGTTGCAAAAGTGTTTTTTTGTATCGCCTATTCTTTGAAATACCTTTGACATGAATTTATTATTTGAAAATGTCAACGTTTGTCTTAAAAAAGTTACCAATTTCCTCTTTCAGGAAGCTTATGTATATTATTACAAATTTGGAATAAGATCGTTTTGTAATTGCCTTATTTTTTTAATATTTTAAATAAAGTCATTTAAAATTCAATTTCTTTTTTCAGGAATAACAATTTAATTAGGACTCGTGATGTGAGAGTGCGCGCTGGAACCTCGAATAATAATTCGGGTAAAAAAATAATACATTTCTTTTTCTAATTCAATTAAACTGGTAAGTAATGATTTGTTTCTATTTGAACGATTATGATATTTGTCCACAGGCGGAACACGTCTCAGAGTGTCACGTATAGCCATACATGAACGATATAACATGCCTCTACGTGATAATGATATCGCGATCTTGCAAACGTCTTCGCGGTTCCCTCGAGGCTCCAGAATCCGTTTAGCCTTGATTCCCTTTCAGGTAATTTGATACGGCAAAACATGTAACACGTAACTCCGTACAAACCAACTGTGCGTTCATTGTAGGCGACTGTCTTCTGTCAATATCTGCATTAAATTAAATACTCGATTCAAAGCACTGTGGATTCTACGCACGTGGATGGCCCGCAGGCGGACAGTCCGTAAGGGCCGTACGCACAGCTATTAAACCAGCCTTAGGAACGTGCTAGCAATAAGACATAAATCATATCAAAATTATATATGAAAATTTCAGAATGATGTCGTGCCTGACAATAGTCCCTTGATACACATTGGATGGGGAATAACGTGGGTAAGTTTTTTAAGGTTTGTTTGTTAAATAACTCGACTAGTATTTGGCGTACGAAATTACAATTGATTTTTCAATTTGCTTTGTGTCTACAAAATCTACTAAAGACAATTATTTAGATGGGCGGTAGCGTCATTAGGTTAATTAACACTAGTTTTCGCCAGGCATTTTCGCCTAGCAAATGCACAACTTTTTAAGCAGAATATGTGTCGTTTTGAAGAGAGTAAACCAAAGAATACAACAACATTACGAAAAAGCTAACGAACGAGGACAAGGCCTAAAGATGAACTAATAAATGCACAGACGACAACTCTTGGCATAACTTGATAACGATGGACAACAATATTTAAAATCTACAATTATTTGAGTCAGTAGTTAAAACACAGTGTCAAAGTTGCTAAATACTGTATATTGTTGATCCTAATTTTACATACTCTAGGTGCATGGGCAGCAATTGTCGCCATATCTGAGGCATGTACCTGTGCTCAAAATAAACCGGGAAGTGTGCGCTTCGAGGTACCAACAACTCGGAGTCGAGCAGAATTCATCTTTCCCCGTCACTGAGAACATGATGTGCGCTGGTCTGCTAGACTTAGGAGGTGAGTGCCGTCCGGTAGCCAACAGCTCGCGATTTATTAACAGTTAAAATGTTTTCAAATTTCGTTTAGTCTAATATAAACTTTAAATATGAATTAAATAATTTTTTTTACACTACACACTCTTAACTGTATGTATATATTGCAAAGATTATGTAAATATTTATTCTATATAAGAGTACACACTGCAATAACACAATATACACATAAGACGTAGGTCAATTCATAAGACGTAACAAATATTTACGTAGTGTATTTTATTTTCTGTTTCGGGACACATGCGTCAGTCATTCACTTGGCTAGGGTCCATTGAAAACCAGCGTCACAGCCGAGTGTTGGTCGTGACTTTAGCTGAATGGGATCATTTTGCATGCGCCACACACGTCAGTATAGTATTATATAACTTGTTGTTTGAATGTTGTTACGTTGTTTTTTGTTTCTCTGTTTTATTTCTCATTTTTATAATGTGGCGTTGCAATAAATGGTTTCTATTTTTATTCCTAATAATAACAAATTTCAACAAATTAGCTCAATGTAAATATAATAACAATAAGGACAGCTTCACAATGGTCGTGAAGAGGAAGAGGAAACCCACCAGCCGTAACTAGTGTGGCACAGCACCTACAGGACCTAACTTCCAGCTGCATCGGGCCATATCGATGATGCTGCTCTACCTGGCACGACTGCATTACACCACGAAGTCTGAGAACATAGTGGAGTACGTCAAGATAAAAGCCAAATATTGTTGTTGTGGCGTAGTAATAAAAGATTTCTATTCTATTCTATTCTATTCTAAATACACCCTGAAAGTCGAGCGGTTTTGAATGTGAACGTGAATTTTAATTCGTTTGTGGTGAGAGTCAAACATCTGTCGACTTTCATGAAGAAAGAGTTTTGGCCGAAGGGTGTCATATATCGGCGAATCCGCGGCCGGTTACCTGACACCAGATTGCGCCACACTTCGCCACCAATTCGTGAAGATTAGTTAGAAATACTGTTTTATTGTATTGTATGTATATTATTCAAATGTAAGTGTGCATTTGACCTCCATCTCACCGGATGGAAAGTGATGTTGAGGTCGACGATGGAGCATGCACATCTATTTAGTCCTTAGGGTATAAATTATATTAGTCATGTGGTCTGAATTAACCATAGTAATTCAGACATATTTCTTAACGACACACTTTAGTGGTTCATGCGAGCTACATTAGGGATCAAAAAAATTGAAGTAAATTAATTTGCTACTACGCAAACATAGTGAAGGTGAAATCGTGCAAAATATCTGCGCTTGTCTAGAGTATTTTTTCATTCAGTTACTTTTCTCACCCTCCCTCCGCATGAAATTAATAAAATAAATAATACAAGAGCAACTGCAGTCACAAACACCATCATAATATACCCGACACGTGTTTTTCCTCTCCACGCGGCATCCTCAGGGACTGTTGATTGCTCGACTCTCGGCCGAAGAATCGATTGACGATTTAACCTTCACTGGATTTGCGGAGTAGCAAATTAATTTATGTTCTTCCATTTTTATTAACATGGACTTACGAATAGTGCCTTTTCCGAAACGAAAAATTTACTTGAACAGATGCTATTTGTTAATGTATTAAAAATGTGTTCCAGGGGCGGGTGCCTGCCGAGGCGATAGAGGTGGTCCGCTGTTGTTCAACAGGACTATTGTCGTAGGAGTGGTGTCATGGGGACATGACTGCGCACACCCGCAATACCCCGGCGTCAACATGCGTGTGGCTAGATATAGTAATTGGATTAATGCTACGGTCAGTTTGATTTTATATTCTTCTTCTCTTAATCCATTACAAGAAATATCATAATTCTTGTCAGTAAAAAATGGCCATTGAGTTATTTGGAATTGTGAAATTTTTCGATTTCCAGACACACAAACGGCGTATATCCCAATCAAATTCAAAAGGCGCTGTCGGTGGTAATTTACCATCTGACATACCCTGTGTAGTGGGAAAGTAATGAAACAAAAGTCGAAATTGTGTCTCGAATGTAGGAAATACGTATTAGGGCCATTCTCATTTCTGCAATTTTTTTTTTGTGCATATGTAAAAAACGATATACTTGTTACTTAGTCTATTCCTATTTCAAATTAATCGAGGTAGTTTATATTAATAATGATTTTTATTTGTATTTACACAATATAAATATTTATTTAAATCGTCATTAACAAAGTGACGAAAATGTCACTTCCGTGTCGTGTGCAATGTCCATTTACAATGCTGCAAATTAAAATTAAATATATTTATCTGTAATAAATAAACTAATCTATATTATTTTACGATAATACATAGAATAAACTTTCTAAAAAACACTAAATAATTGCGACAAAAATAAAATAATGGATTCAAAATATTTCATAACGTTTGTGCATGAAAAAATTGTCACCTCCATGCATAAACTTATTGAACGCAGCCATAATTTATTAAATCAGTCAACACAGTGTCTGAACAATTACAGACAACAAACACAATGCCATCTTGAAAGTTTTTGACAGTTTGCCACTTCCGAGATAATAGTTTTGGCGCACTGACCTTTAAAATACAATTTTTCAAAAATTTGCCTGCTGATGCCATGGAGGTGACACAATTTCGATGGATTTGTGTCACTCCGTGGAGGCATTTTTCTTTTTTCCTTTCTTTCATGAAAACTACAGTGATAATAGCTAGGTTCTTAAGCGAAACATATTGCAGGATACGTTACCTTTCATTTGAGACTACTTTAAATAATATCAGAAAACATTGTATTTTTTTATTATTTTAAGTCCGTTTTTGAGAATGGCCCATTATTGAGATTTTTTGTGAAAATATATTTTTTTTATAATGTTAAGTGACGGGAGGAACAAGTCATGCGCCTGATGGTAAACTACACGCCTGTCCATAACAGTTGCAGTGCCACTCAGAGCTTTAAATCGCAAAGATCTGAGGGGTACTGCCACTACGCCCGAAACCCTGAGACATAAGTTAACAAGTCCCATGTGCCTATAGTTTCACCAGCTATTTTATGATTATTTAGCAGCTGTAACAAACCTACTTTATGTATTAGACGGCCCAAGCTAGATTGGTTACTTTTAGTTCCCTAAGAATCCGCTAGATGGCATTGATCCATTTGGCGGTATTTCTGAATCGCGGTGTTAAGATTTTCCCTCGAATGGTGACTACTCGACTATTACTCCTACGGCTACTCTTCTCTTCCGGTGGCGTAGTCAAGGCCATCAGCGGCCAACTGCAAAGTGTCCTTAAAAAAAAGTTAATGTGCACAGAAATCGGAGAATACCGAGAACTCAGTTAGGCTAACCAGAGTTGAGTCCCTTCTTGGGAACTGCTAATCGGACCTTCTGATATTGCGTACGCTCATATAGAGTGGAATTCATCATCTCGCGGAACAGTTTCCAGGAGTCGAATCCCTTCTTGGGAATAACTGCCCGGACCTTCCGCATATAGTGTGAAATTGTATTGGACTTAAAGTTTCCACTTGGCTGGAGCTGCGTAACCTCATCCCACGGTAGAGAGAGACTCCCTCCTTTACACAGCTTTATTATAATTATTAAGACAAAGATTGAACACACAGAAAAACTTTTTCGACCCAATGGGACTTGAACCCATGACCATACCGCATCGTAGTATTGCTCTTACCAAGTGAGCTAAGGGTCAAGTTATCGAGTTGTCGAAATTCTCTTATGTATCAGATTTTTATTCTTAAATAATTCGTTTTACACTTTTATTTGTGACCGTCAGGATGGCTGGTCGCCTGTCGCATCTGGCACTGAGTGTATATTCAAGAATTCTTCGTAAAATTTTCAATCGGTTATATTTCTTTAACTAATGTAGATAAGAAGCGTATACCTTTAATTCGTGAAAGTAGCAAATAGGTAGCAATTATTGGTAATACATAGTTCTGGAAAATCTGCTCACTTCAAGCTGAGCAAAGTGGCGACTAGCCATCCTGACGTCAGAATGGCTGTTCAATTATTTTTTAATTTCTCAGAATATAGCAAAGGTAGCAATTATTTAGTAAAGGTAGCAAATAGTAGCAAATAGGTAGCAATTCTTGAATATACACTCAGTGCCAGATGCGACAGGCGACCAGCCATCCTGACGGTCACCTTTTATTTGAATTTTTTTTTCTGTTTTCAGGATTTTATACATCGTATCGTGTAACAAATTAGCGTATTGTTTAAACAAATACCCTTAGGTGTATCGTACTCCTATATTTTTTGTAAGACTTTTACAGTAAATATCTTAACCATTTGATCTAGCCAAATAGTTCTTCCCTCTTCTCCTCCGTTGGCTCGCATTATAGGTGAATGTGGGTGTCTTTTTAAATACACTGAATTTTATAGAATGTCTATTTGTTTTTATTACAGGTAGCTAACCTCAACGGGAGTCCATCTGTGAGCGAATCGAGAGTAATTCTACTGTTCACACTCATCTGTGCAATTATCCACTGGCACTCTAGTTAGATAAATTAATTTCAATTTAGAACATCTATTTATATTTATATCATGATCTAAAAGTACTATTTTACAAGTTTTTATATGTTGTTTAAATTTTATAATTGATTTTATCCAGATTAAATCATGGTTCTGTTAAAAATGTTTATAACTTGAATGAAACACACATTTCCATCAGCATAAACTACGCAATCTTACCTCCAGACCCTTTCATTCGCACAATATCTCTAGAAGCAGGAAGTGGCTGAATAAGAGGATTGTTTTAGCTTCCGTTGAACCACTTCTTTTATTAGACATATCTGTGTTATTTGAATTCAGCTTTCAGTTTATACTTGTAAGTTACTGTAGCTGTCAAAGGCAATTAAGAAAATTAATGTCATCATTCCTTACATGAGTTTTTTTAAATACTACATATATACAATGTGTTGATTTGCATTCTCGCCATATTTACAGAGGTCATTCTATATCCGAAACTGAACCCAAATCAATTTAAATCTAAAAAAATTTATTATAGACTTATTTTTTATATAATACGTGTCCAGAAATCCCCATTCCCGTCGAGGCTTATATAGTGATTTTCTCAAGCAATGTGAGGAAAAATAAAATAAAAGACTAAAGAGAAGAAGACGTATAATAAAAAATTAAAAAAATCTTAATTCAAATTAAAAGTAATATTTGACATCGTTTTTCCACGCACATTTACATAGTAGTCTGTTCAACTTCTGATGACGCGGTTTATTGTGTATCCATAAATATATACTTTCATTATCTCTCTTCTCACTAGAACTTATTTTCGCGACGAACATAGAAAAAAAGTTACAAAGACAGAAAAGAATACCAAAAAATTTTAGTTTATTATACCGCCTTTTTTAAAAAAAGAATAATAAGCGGTAAAGGTAGGTACTTTTAATTCTCGCAATCGCGAAAACTTGGCAGTTGGCTGTATGAGTTTTTCTATTGTCTGTATACATAGATAATTATTAGTAGGTAGATTTGAAAGTTTAGAGAAGAGGACAGTAATGGATTTTCATACTTACTTTGACCTTAGGCCTTGGCCGGGAAGAAGTCGCATGCTCCACAAATGACAAACTTTCCGTGTTCGTTATATTTGAGAAAAGCTTAGAATAATAACGCATAGAATGATAGTTTCATATCAAACGAACTGTCACAAGAGAGGCAAAAACCAAATTCATGTAGGCGTAAGCAACTTGTATCTACGCTCGTCGGCACGCACACAAAAATTCAAATAATGATGCCATGGAATAACATTTCCCTCAAAAGTGGGGAAATTGTATCTTGCTTAACTCATCATTAAGTTAAAGGTGCCTACTGATTTGCCCGACATTGTCGATCAGGTGCCTACAAATGTGCTCCATTTTGTCGATCGACAATGTCGATCAGGTGCCTACAGGGGTATGCTCGACTTTGTCGATCGTTACTGTTGATCGACAATGTCAAGTGACAAGAATTTTCAAAAATTTATTTTTGGTAATCCTTATGGAAATGGCATTTATATCTGAATACACGATGACGGACACGACTTTTCAAATAAATGCAATATGGGAATCATTTTCGAGGTATTCGAATATGGCACTCATTTCTAAATCCAAGATGGCGGGCACGATTTTTCGAATAATGGCAAGTTGGGTATCATTTTCGAGGTATTTGGGGGGTGCTCATTACAAACATGGCACTCATTTCTAAATCCAAGATGGCGGGCACGATTTTTCAAAAAAATACTATATGGGTATCATTTTCGAGGTATTTGGGGATGCTCAATGTGAATATGGCACTATTTGTAAATCCAAGATGGCGAGCACGATTTTTCAAATAATGGCAAGTTGGGTATCGTTTTCGAGGTATTTGGGCTCATTACGAATATTGCTTTTGTTTGAACTGTCGTGTCTGCCATATGTCTGTCGTATTGAGCATCCCCAAATACCTCGAAAAGGATACCCATATAGCATTTTTTGAAAAATCGTGTCGGCCATCTTGGATTTACAAATAAGTGCTATATTCGTAATGAGCACTCTCAAATATCTCGAAAACGATGCCCAACTTGCCATTATTCGAAAAATCGCGCCCGCCATCTTGGATTTAGAAATGAGTGCCATATTCGTAACGAGCATCCACAATTACCTCGAAAAGGATACACATATTGCATTTAAAAAAAAATTGTGTCCGCCATCTTGGATTTAGAAATAAGTACTATATTCGTAATGAGCACCCCCATATACCCCGTAAACGATACCCAGAATCAAAATCAAAATAATCTTTATTTCATAGGTAAGCATTATTACACTAGAAATCGTCACATTGGTTAAACTCTACCGCTCATTCGTAAGGCAGATTCCCCTGAGAAGAATGAGCAAGAAGCTCTAGGGGTTGCTCTTTGTAAACAACATTTGTACGCATTTAACTTGCAGAAATGTAGGTCAAATGCACACTTACATTAGAATAAAAATAAAATCTGCAGCCATCGCGATATTGCCTATTCTCAATAAATTACGTAATATAATTATTTTGAAACAGAATAGCAAAATTGGGAGAAAGAAATCCGTTACTTTGCAACATTTTCGTGTCTTGTTGCAACGAAATTAATTTTCGGTTTTAGTGAATATTTATATAAAAATACAAGTTGAAACGCGTTACTTCCTTGTGGAATGTGACGTTAGTGTCTATTTTATGTTTGCCTGTTCTATTTTTACACCCATTTACCGCACATTTCGTCATTTTTAGCAAAAATTTTTGAGCTGTTCGCGGTGCAATTTGACTTTGAGCACTGACAGCCCGCCCGCTCGTGTAGGCCCTTTGGGAAGCCTCTAACTTGCCTCACTTAGCGTGCGCGGGCTAGGTTTCTATGCGTTATTATTCTAAGGAGAAAAGTTATATTAACAATCACACACTCACAACTTAAAAACAGATTATCGATTATCGTAAAATAAAATTTTTGACAACACTAACTGATTATCGATTTATTGACCCGCTGATAATAAATCGATAACAAAATATGCAAAAGTACATTTGTCATCATTTATCGGACGTTAGTGTAATCGAAACCATCATGAAGATCTTACTGAGTCTTGTCCTTTTGTTCAGTGTTGTGAGCTGGGGTAAGTTTTTTTTATATATTAAGCGCAGTCTCGAAGAAGATGGATAAGATTCTCGGTCGTAGGATCATCAAAATACAGAGAAAAACAGCTATAAAGTGTTGCATTAAAAGTAGGTGCAGTCAACAGCGCATAAAGCTATTACACACTTTTGTTCGAATCCTGGGAGATAGAAGATCCATCAGTGTGTGGCTTTATGCTGCCGTATGTATAGTTGGGGAAATATTATTTGCACCCATTCCTCATAACACTTCATCTTTAGAGTACAATGTAACCCACCCACGTACCATCTGTATAGTGCAAACAACTAGTTTAAATATCGAGTTCTTAGGTTTTCGCGATTATTACACATAGGAAATGAAACTATTTTTCCAGATTTAAATCGCGTATATTTGTTTTTTCAAACAAACCGACGTTCGTTTTGACGTTTGTCAACCGTGACCATGGGACCTGTAAAGGGCCCGAAACGTCGGTTTGTTTGAAAAAACAAATATACGCGATTTAAATCCGGAAAAATAGTTTCATCAACTAGTTTAAATACTTTTATGCATGCAACACTAAATTCTAAAACTTCAAAGAAACAAAAAACAAAATACGATAAAAAACAAATTTTGTGAAAAAAGAAACAAAAAGACAAAATAAAAACAGAACAGGTCCAAAAATTCTTAGAATAATAACGCATAGAAACCTAGTCCGCACACGCTAAGTGAGGCAAATTGAAGCGCGCCCAAAGGGCCTACACGAGCGGGCTTCAGTGCTCAAGGTCAACTTGCACCGCGAACAGATCAAGAATTTTAGCTATAAATGACGAAATGTGCTGTAAATGAGTATAAAAATACGTCAGACACACAAAATAGATACTAACATCACATTCCACAAGGAAGTAACGCGTTTCAACTTGTATTTTTATATAAATATTCACTAAAACCGAAAATTAACCTACTACTAAAACTAGCCTACATGAATATGATTTTTGCCTCACTTGTGACAGTTCGTTTGATATGAAACTATCATTCTATGCGTTATTATTCTAAGCAAAAATTAAGATAGCGTAGTGTTCATTGGACGTATCGAGTTGCACTATCACTTTTTACAGTGTCGATTGCACTTTTCACGTTTGCTTGTAGCTCGTCACAGCTTTGAGCTTCTTTGAATGAAATTCATTACGCGAAAAGAAACCTTAGATTTGCAAAGCCTTGAACTGACAGGCGCTGGATCCTCTCCACCTCATTCTCGGGTTCCATTAATGATGGTGACGCATAAGCATAAAAATATATCTACATAAAATTATTAGCTGATAGTAAAATTTCAACAATTTTTCTTTATCGATACCTGGATATAACGGTACTCTTTATCTATTATCATAGCAATCAATAACACATATTTTAAATATATCTTTATAACAAACACTGTTCTGTCTCTCCCCTTCGTAATGTGAAAAAAAATGGTAGGTACAATCCGTGCGCTACAATTTACAAATTAATATGATTAAAAAAATATGAGGAACAGAAAATTTAATGTGGCGCGACGAGTCGTTAAACCACTCGGCAATTTGCAGTTTTTGGGTTAAATGTGAATTTAATAACTACAGGGCTTCAATTGAAAACTAAAATTTTGCAGGTTCTCTGTACTTATAAATATCTCCATATAAAAATTATGTACAACGTTCACTGACTTACAATTATAAGGACGTCGGGTCCGCGCTAAAAAGTGTCCGAACTTATAGGGCGTTAAAATCGTATACAGAGCGTCATTCACGCTTTAGTCTTCGTTTGTTCGACTGACAGCGAAGCAAGCAAAATTAGACAGTACTGCGATGACATTACAATTTAAATTCAACGTTTTAGCTTTTTCATATTCCTTTTACATGTCATTACATTTAAATAGGTTGACTTGGGACATTTTTTTCGTGGTTTTTGTATTAGACCCGTCGTCCATTTATTTGTAAGTCAATGACAACGTTAGATATTTTTTAGAATAACATAGAATTATTTGTTTCGGACTATGATCCATAGTAATGTTAGTAATACAGTAAATTTTTCTTACGTGCTAAG